ATGAGGTTTTAAACTTAAAAAATATCTCCATTTCATTATTAAAATACAGTTTCATACAGAAAAATTCATTTTTAATATAATTGACACTACAATGCACATGTGTTTCTAATCTTTATATATCTGATTATTACTCAAGTTTTTAAGAAGGCATTTAAATAGGTGGGTAGGTAGACTGGCTAGAAAGGAAGGAATTGAGAGGAGGAAAGAGAAATCCCACCTTGATTCCTATACTTGAGCACCTTGTCTTTGTATTTGCTCTTTAAAATGAGTGAGAATAAAAGTAGTCTTCAGAAAATGAACTCTAGACAGATCACTTAACCTGTTAAACACACTGCTTTTTATTATATTTTTAAATGAATAAATTTTACTTATACATGTTTTTCTTAACAAACATAAACCAAAAGGCACATGTCTTTAAAAAAAAAAAAAAGTACATCTTACTTTAAAACAATATTCCCTTTATTCAGCAATCAATTAAGTATACATATTTATTTTGGCCTGTTACTTATAACATCCAAATGCTTTCAGTACAGATTGGCATGAATTTAACAGTGTGAACAGTTAGAAATGGCCCTGCCTTCTAGGTTTCAATTCCTGTCACCCAAAGTAATTTTTGTCTGCTGTGCTCCCAAAGGCCTTGGACTAAAAGGTACTGGAGACACTTTCAAACACTGTTTTTCCTTTCAAAATGGTTTTGTTAAGGGCTTGAAATGTTACTACATTTTAAAAAAAAAATCTAATTTAGTTTAAAATAAAAACATTTTAAAGATGATAGTCACAGAGTATTCAAATAGGCTGTTTTTAATATTTTTACTTAATACTAGAACCAAAAATGCAAGTGTAAATGTTAAACCTTGGAAAATGTTGTGCTAATTAATGGCAATTTGGAGCAGAGATTGGTTGACCATTGAAATTAGAATAGGATTCTTCATTGAATTTAGAAGACTCTAAAGTAAGATCCAGAAGAATCCGTCTAGAAGGAGAATTCAGATCAGGAGAATGTGATCCTAAGATAAAGAAAAATGAGAAGAAAAACACAAATCTCTGCTGGGTCTCTGGTAATATTTTTGTGAGACACTAACTTTTCGGGTATAATCATTGTAATGAGAAGATTCACCAAGTGTGGTGGAGGAATCTTGTTCTTAATAACAGTACTTCTCATGGGCCTGGTGAATCTCAGGTGTGTTTGATTTCACTTAAGAACATGGATATGACTTTCCCAAGTTTTGACGTCATCTGAAACATTATTCAGTTCCTTTTGCGTATGCCCTGCTAAGTATGACAGATTGCCACATGGATAAGGGTCATTTGAGTCATGTGTTACTGCAGTTACCAACTCAGGACCATAAACCTTGCTGTGGCATTACAGACTCATTGAAATGAATGTTCCCTATGAGCTGAACAAGAGATCAGTGTACCTAGACCTTTGTAGCACTGTACTCTAGTTAAGAACCTGATTATGTGACACAGACACGAACTTTCATTTCAGCATTGGAAATCCTGATTGTAGCATCACAGACTTCCACATCTTGTGTTTATGATTATAGGTTTTTCTCTTGCCTCAAGTACCTTTTTATGCCCCACACAGTAAGTTCTAAAAAGATAATCTCCATTTTATTTCTTCACTTACTAATGTTTTCCAGATGAATATAGCAGATTAACCAGGGGTTAAATTATTAAACTATTCATTTAGAATCACTGGCTGACCCTGCCTTCTGAAGGTCATTAGAAGCCCAGGCTCTGTCAGTGATATTTCATTCTGAATCCATGTCTGGTTGTGAATGGAAAGTATTTGGCCTTTTGCTGTTGTCCTTTCACAGGACTCTATGTGCTGACCTTGGCCTAAAACATGAATTTTAATATGAGGGGACTACAGTGAAATCTGATTGGGGTAGTCCATTTGACAGCCAGGCAAGCCCTCACTGGCGAGATGACCAGTTAAGAGTGTGTTCTTTCACTTCTGGCTGTAGGGTCTTCTTTGTCAGAGAGCAAAGGTAAAAGGCATTAACTTGTACTTTGCAAATCCACAAGAAGTCAAGTATATATCCAGAAATCCAGTGTGTTTACTTAGGAAGGATGTTTGTTTGTTAAAACTGAAAGTCGTCATGCCTAGTCATTGTTTTTCTATAACACTTGTCTCCACTTGACATTATCTATCTACTTAAGATGTTTCCCAAGAAGCTGTATCTTTCTTACTTCTTATTTATGTATTAGTGCTGGGGATTGAAACTTCAACCCTGCACATGCTAGGCATTTGCTCTTCCACTGAGCTATATCCCCACCTGCTACTGTTTAAGTATTTGAGTGCATAATACCTCTTACAAGTAGGTAATCTGACTTTTACTGGCTCAGCTTTTACAAGAACAACCTTGTTTGATTTATTTTTAAAATGAACACTTCTGTGGTCTGTTAAGACTGTCTATAAATGCACATTCATGAAGTGAAATTTTGGTACTCTGTATATCAAGGTCTTACAGACAGCATATAACAGAGAGAACTTTTGTATCTTTATGTCGGGTTTTAGGAAGTTCTCTGATTAGAAAGAACTGCTTACAACTGAATAGACTACTGTATCTAATATATATTTTAGAATCTTAATTTCAAATGTTTGCTGAATTTAATTTCAATTTGGGGGGAAAAATTGAGTAAACCTTATACCAAATAGGATGGATTCAATTCCAGTGCCTTGACTAAAACAAACTGCCTTCCTGCCTGACTATGGCATGAACTGGGTACCAGTTGTGTCAGGTACCATAACTACAACAGCACTTGCAGTCAGATTCTAACATTCTCAAGTGATAGGGAGAATTGTGTCAGCAGGCCAAGGCCCCAATAGAGTTGGCTTTGAAATAACAACTACAGTGTCTCCTAAAACTTAAGATGAATCTTAGTGGTGGCAACACTCTGAAGAGCCTTTCCTTGTGGAAAGAGTATGGAGTAAGATAAGTGAAAAGAGGGTTTATTGTGATTGATAACCTGATTGAAACGCTTAGGGAATGAACATTCTTTGGGCATGTTGTAGTAGCATTTAGAGACAATCAGCTCATTGAGAACTCTGACTTATGAATAGATTAGTCCCTTCATAGATAGGATGGCATTATTGGGAAGTGGTGAAAGGTAGGGGGTGGGTTCTAGGTACAGAAAGCAGATCACTGAGAGGATGCCCCTGGTGGCTTTCTCCTGTCTTGGTTCCTTCTCATAATCCCCTTCTCTGCTTACCTGTAGACTAGGAGGTGAAGTACAACTCCACCACATGCTCTCACTACCTTGATTTTCTGCCCAAGAATATGG